AGGATAGTAGAAGGTCAAATAATTTATCACCAAGAAAGTTACTGATTTAAACCGAATCCTGTAACGCGAAAGATTCTTAATTATGCTAAGTGTGCAATATTAGGTCAGTTAAGTTATACCTGCCTCCATGGTTAAGACGACAGTAATGCATGATAGGTATATTTTGAAATCTACACATAGTAGCTGTTTTTATAATTATTACAAAAACTCTGATTTAAACATGCCTGTATAGCTACGATACATAATATTTAATGTTTTTTGCAAGTTTCAATTAAAGAAAAATGGTCAAGTATATTTTAAACTCAGTGTATTTTGTAAGTTTAAAGGAATAAACATTGACATTGACTCAACATTAAAAATTTACATTGAATTAACATTGAACATATTACATTGAATCGACGTTGAAATTTACGTTGATGAAAACTTTCATTCACAACCAAAATTCAAAGTTGATTCAACATTGATAATTTGATGTTATTATAACGTTAAATAATTGATGTTGAAACAACTTTAGACAATTTACGTTGAAATTTACGTTGATGAAAACTTTCAAATTCAACCAAAACTCAACGCTGATTCAACATTGATCATTTGACGTTGTTTTAACATTAAACATTGACGTTGAAACAACTTTAGATATTTGACGTTGAATCAATGTTGAAATTTACGTTGATGAAAACTTTCATATACAACTAAAATTCAACGTTAATTCAACATTGGTCATTTGACGTTGTTCCAAAGTAAAAAAATTAGCGTTGAAAAAACCTTAGACATTTTACGTTGAATCAACGTTGAGATTTACGTTGATGCAAACTTTCATATACAACAAAAATTAAACGTAGATTCAATGTTTGCATATTACGTTGAATCAACGTTATTTCAACCAAGTTGTGCCCACTGGGTATGTTATCGTCTAGTATTAACCATGTAAGATCGAGTAAATCCGGTATAGAGGGATGATGGGATGAGTCATGAGCTAAAGATAAAAGTAAATATAAGACCTGTCCTAGAAAGATAATTACAGTAAACACCACACATTTCTTGATTACCGAATGCCCATGTGGATCCTTTATTACTAAACATAATACCGGTAATCTTTCAAAGTTGCGGAGTAACATACTAGATCTAACATGTACGTCAAATTTTCAATTTATTCGTATATTAATGTACAACATACCAACGGCGGCGGAACGTTTTTGAAAGTGGGGGCCCATTGCATAAGGTCCAGTATGCGAGGGAAGCGAGCATCTAGGCTGACTATAGGCTCCCAGTGAATCCGCCACATTTAACATAGCCTATCATTTTGTTTCACAAATGACAAATTCATAATGTCAAGCGAAAGATTTTTTTTATTCGAAAGATTTTTTTTAATTCAATACAGTTTTTACAACGTATAGGCCTAATACATAAACTGTAATCTGTAGTTAACCTTCAGAGAACTTTATTTTAATTAATGGCCTACTTAAGGATCTTGTTTTCGTTAAATTAAATGGAATTTAAATGTGGAGATATTTTAATAATAATAATTTAAGGATCTCTTTTTCGTAAATTAGATGGAATTTAAATGTGGCTATATTACGCTAATTTGATGGTTTACTGTAA